ACTACCTACTACCTACTACCTACTACCTACTACCTACTACCTACTACTACCTCCTACTACTACCTCCTACTACTACCTACTACCTACTACTACCTACTACTACCTACTACTACCTACTACTACCTACTACTACCTACTACTACCTACTACCGACGACGACTACGACTACGATGTCTCCCTGAGCCGATAATTCAGGGGGAGTGGACCTCATGAGTGGTATCTCATACCTTCTTGACCTTGTTGACCTTCTATGTGGGGGGGGCAGATTAATCCGGGGTTGACATTACACATGAATGTCAATGGCACTCACATTCTGGAATTTTGGAGCAGTGTTCCTTTTTTGTCCTTTTGGATAGCCACCATTTTGGTTGCGCCCTTGAGTGTTTGTTGTTGAATTTACCAAATTACGTCGATATGTTTTTGCCTTCGACCCCGGTGGCTGGCATACAACCTGAGGACAAACACGATCTTGTGTTGAACATCTCCTTGGAGAAGGCAGTTCTGTGCACCTTTGCGCGTGAGCCAGTTCCTCGCAACTAATAGTTATTATTTTTTTGATAAATCCGTTGACTTACCGACTTGCAGACGCGGTTACATGGTTAATATTATACATCTAGAGAGTGGCAGTGTTTGTTGTTGTTCTTTTGGTGGCTACACAAACAACCGACACGCCCCGCGGTCTAAACGCGCCGCGCGAACCCCTGGGTTCATAGGCTCGCAATCCCTCGGCCTACGTGATCACCCAGATGAACTCGCCGGAGCGACCTGCTTATCGTCGAGTCGACGGGAGACGTCGACCTCTTCCAGTCGACGGGAGATCTAAGTGTTAGAACGACTGGAGTGTTTAAACGACCAGCCGTACCAGCCGTACCGCAACACGGACCGCACGGATGACGCTTCTGCCTTCGATGTTCCACGGTGGGGTTGGATTGAGTGAGCAGCAGAAGCAGTTTGATTGGTGATGTGTCAGTGACCGTTTTGGGGTGTCGGGGAAACTCGGGTGCAACTGCTTCCCCCTGTATCTCCCGTGGCATGCCGCACGAGTTTTGCGTGCCAGGCTCTTCGGAGGCATGCAAGGTATTCAGGAGAGTCGACGTCGAAGACGTCGAAGGGGTGGGAGAGCCTCCAACGGACGCCTGTGGGAAAAAAAGCCTCGGACCAAGAAACTTTGGTCACGTCCAAAGAATATAGAACCAAAGATGCAGAACATCACTGAATCGAAGCGAACGGTCAGGGTCAGGTGATGCCAGGTGGCAGTGGAATGTCTAGGGATTGCATTTTGGAAGAACTTTGTTTTCTATCCCTGAAACTAGCATGGAAGTTTTCGGGACGCCGTGGTCCCCTGTTCTGTTCAAGACTGAGGGTGTCCACTGGGTCCACTATACGGTTGCCCTCTACACTGAGTCAACCACCGGATGGGGTAAAGCTTCGGGTTGAAATGAGACCTAGAAGAATCAGGCCCAAGCGGCCAAGCGGCCAGAGCATACCAGACCTGAACAGGATAAGTCAAGTGAATGCTGCCAACGAAGCCGGACAAGAAACCAAAACCAAAGTCCTGAAGCAGGGAAATCCTGTTGTAAGGATAGATCCGCAGCCCGCAAGCTTTAAGAACAGAGGTGAACATTACACGGAAATGGCACACTGCTTTGTGAAAAGAACACTTCGAAGCCAAGTGCAAACATGGAAGTGGACACATGGCCAATTGATTGTCCTTTACACACCGGTGGTTTTCCACTTCCACGTTGGTTCCAGGGAGAGTATCCACCAGTCGTCCTTCCAGGAGCTGCAGAAAATGGCTGCGGTGAACAATGGGAATCGAGCCCGGGACACCCAGGGACTTTCCAAGACACCCATGTGGTGTGAATGGGTGTCGACACCCAGCCTGGCTGGGTAGACTGGTCTATTTCTTTTCGTACCCAGGGGGACGAATTGGCGTTCGAACTCGGAGAACTTCTCCAGCCTTGCTTCTCGGAGAACTTCTCCAGCCTTGCTTTCTGAACGTGTTGGAGGGAGTTACAGCGGAACGGCTAGTTTCCGGATTGCAAATGGTGAAGCTCTCCTAAATGGCTGGTCCAGTGTATTGTTATATAGAGGATATATTATACTATAATGGAAACGTTGGGGCACGTCGGACCATGTTTGACCTTAATTGAATTGCTGAGCACTCTGAGACAAGCCAAGTCCAAGATATTCTAACAACCAGTAAAGTTGGAAGCTCTAAGACAAATCGTTTGGGATGACTTTGCTATACCACTGGGAGGGTACCCCATCAGGATCCAATGATCAATCGTCGCTCGTGAGAGCATTCCCTTGCAGCTGGACCAAAGCTCCCTGAAAGCCACCAGGTGACTATAGTCACCAGTTCTCTTGAGAGAGAACTGGAAAGGATAGGGCAGAGTTGTTTTGTGTTGACATGTTGACAGGAGGTGCATACTTTGATCTATTTGTTTGTCTTCCAGATTCCAAAGCTTCTTTTTGGTTCTCCTTGTTCAAATATGCACCCGCATACTGCAAAGCCAAACCAATCAGCAATCAGTGAGCTGGCCTGACTTCCACCCTTCTTCAGCTTCATGCTGTCAGCCACTCGGTCGGAAACATGTTCAGTCCTCCAAACAGGTGACCTCCTTCTCCCCATCTCCAGTCACATCCAGCTGCCCTTCTCCAAAGGAACCATGAAAGAACCATGGAACATCCAGCTCAGCCGAAAAAACATGAAAGAACCACGTCGACACCGGACCTCCCAAAACTGCCTGGCTCCCAAGACCGGCGCCCGAGGATGCGATGCAGCCGAGTCCCTTCAACAAGCAACAACCCAACTTCAATTTGACCGCTGTGACCTGGCGAAGCGACGGATTGGGCGTTTTGGGTTGTGAGGAGGTGCGAGGCTTCCGGGCGTTTTGTGTGGCGGATGGCGCAGGTTGGTGGTCGGGTGTGGGATCCAGGACTTGAGTGATTGGGAAGAGATGCCACACAGACGAACGGTTGAGCTGAGTCTGACGTGGTCAGTTCGATCAGCTCGGATCAGAAAGTGAAGGGCGGAAGTTGGTCTTGGGGGGCAAAAGAAAACAAAAGAAACTTGTATCATCTGGAATCCGCGTGAGCGCTTCAGGTCTTCAGCTTTGTCTAGACACATCCTTCTTCCCAGAAAACAATAGAAAAACACATGTGGAAGTTAGGAAGGTTCTTTCTAAGTATTCTACGTGAGGTGGGCCAGGTATGGGATTTGGACTGCACACCTCACCATCGAAAAAACGCCATGGGGGCGAGTCATGGCCGCAACCAGGGCACTGGCCATCAAAACGATCCGACCGGATCAGCGAGTTCCTCGGTGTCGGCCTCGGAGTGCGGTTCTTCCGAGGTCACCATTTGATATGCCGGTTGGGCCAATGCCGGGGACCATGCCGTCTCAGCTGGCAGCCTCTCGCTGAATCATGTGGGAGCCGACCCAAGCCGAGCTGACTGTCGGCCCGGCCATTGGAACATCGAACCCAGACCCTGCCCGATGCGTGCGCTGTCAGCCGACGCGGCCTCGGACGACACGAGGTGAGCCTCTCGCCTTTTTGCACCTCCGACCCGTTCAAGAGGTCGGCCCATAGTAACCCGATGTAGACAAGGGATTGACAAGGGTGTATCCCGTTGCCAGGAACGTTTTTTTGTGGAAAGGTACTGTCCATTCTCACTCTTACTGATCTTACTGTAGATATCCCAAGATAGTTAGGGTCGTTGATTTCAAGTGGAACATCATGGCATCATGTTGCAGCGAACAGTGACATCTTGTTGGGGGTCCAAAATGTTGTCCTCAAAATGAAACACATGTTCGTTTAGGTTCCTTGAGTTCACCATGAAATTGACATGTTTTCGCATCTAAACAGCCAGCAGCTCTCCGGACTGGCAGTCGAAATGAGGGGACTCGAACACCCTGTGCTCCTGGGAACGCTGCGCGTCGTCGTCCTGCTCGTGCGGAATCTGCGGAAGGCAGAGATGCTGGACATTGGACATGCGTTCGGCGAGAACGACGTTGATAGCACGCTCGTGACTTCAGCTTGCATAAAATTAACACGAGATAAGGTCACAGCACTTGTGCAAACCCAGCCAAAGTGCACACAAAGGTGCTTCAGTGGAACTGTTTGTAAGGAAGGTCAGGTGGCAACAAAATGATAATGATGTTCCAGAAGTGCAGTGTTTCACCAAACGAAGCTGAATTGTAAAGCATCCCGACCCTCCCTTCTCTGAACAAGAACTAAACAGTTTCACCAAGTGGTCCCAGGTTTACTGTTCCTTTCCATTTCAGCGCCCAGGTCACAACAATCCGAGAAAAGAACAATATGACAACATAATCGGACCTTCCCAATCCCCTCCCCAAGCACCTTCCAGCCCCCACCCCCAACGGCAGACGCCCCACCCGTGCTGGTCGCCGCTCGGTGACGTGTCGCGCCATGCGGTGCAACGCCTACGAGTCGGCGGCGGCTGAGCTGGTGGACGAGAGCCCGGGCGCCGAGCGGCGGCAGCGGGTCGGTTCCGTGGGAAGCACCGGAGGGATAGGGATGGGGTTGTTGAACCATGAATGGAATGGGAAGGAGTCTGTAAACGCAGCAAGATGAATGATGGATAGGAACAGGTTGGCTCCTTCCCATTCGAGCTCATTCGGAGGGGATTGGTCAAGATATTCAGTTTGGGATGGGTGGTTTCTGAGGTCTTCACCCTTTGGAGCAGCTGGACGTGTTGATGAGCAAGGCGAACACGGATGCGGCCGGAGGTCTAAGGGAGAAAACGGAGGGATCCTCCACAGGTCCTTTGAACATCTGAACTTTTGCAAATTCAGATCGACTTATATAATTCATGTCGGAGCTTGATTACATCATATTCCTCCACATGAAGAGGTTCTCCAAATTGGGGCCGGGGGGGAGCTTTTGTTGTGCGATGCACCACCTTTCACCCTCAGTTTCGGGCAATCAGCGGGTTCGGTTTGCCTGAGCTGAGCTGATGTTGTTCGTGTGGAACTGTGGTATGATTGTCGAGAGCTAGAAAGCAAAGAGGTATACCACAATCTACCACATTTGGAAGCAAGAAGCCCACCCCACAGTTACGAGTTGGCTGAGATGATGATAGATGTTGTGGGTTGGTTATGGATTTGGAGGCTGTTTGTGTGAGCAGAACCCACATGGGACTGGGACCATCCCAGCTGGGACTGGGACATCCAGGTAGAGACGAGAGAGGAAGACCCACAAATCATGCGGGATCATTGGAAATATTTTCACGAACGGTTTCCGCGGTCTCTCTCTCTATATATATATATATATTGTAAATATATATATATATATATAGTGGACTGGCTCAAGCCATCTCAGCCTCAAGCCGGGCCCATACAAGACCGGCTCACGCGGCGCAAAGGCGCGGCTGTGGCGATCAAAGAGGTGATCTTTCGGGAGAAGGAGAAGTACCAGAACGATCCAATGCAGAGACCATACTTGGTCTGCAAAAGCTGCGGCCGCAGCTGGATCTGGCAGGACAGGCTGGTGAGAGATCACACCCTAACCTGTCGACAATGTGGCACTGCATGGCAAGGACAAGGGCTACAAGACCTCAAGGCTAGCAAGAAAAAGACCCAATGGGCGCAGTGGAACTTCAGCCAAAACGGTCATAAATGGCCGGTCCGGACCTACAAGCAGGCTTTCTTGGAACCACCACCAGGACTAGCAGGAGGCCACAGACCCAAAAAAGCTAAGGTCAAGTTCAATGCCCTACAAAAAGCAGTCCAAGAACATTGGGAGACCTTGCCTGCGGCCCTCAAGACCCAATGTGAGGCCATAGGATTGCAGGCACTGGCCCCTCCATCACCTCCTGACCTGTCGACTTTGATCAAGGAGCACTTGGAAAGCCTGCCAAGTGATCTCAAGCAGGCAGTGGGCAAGCTGGTGGAGCCGGATAAACCTGAACCCACCCTGCCCACAAAGCTCAAGCAATCTGTGGGACAGCTGAAACAGCTGGCTGAAAAGAAAGCTGCACTACAGCACAAAGCTGATGCGGTCAAAGCTCAATACTCAGCTCTGCTGGCTGAGCTGAAGGAGATGCAGGCAAAGATTGAAGGAGCTCAAAAAGAACTACAAGATACCACGACCTTGTACAACCAGCAGATTGAGAAAGAGAAGACTGAAGCTGCCGCTGAAGAAGAGGCTTTCACCTTAGCACCTGAAAAGCTGATGACGATCCTGGCCAAAGTCGGTGTACAAGCCACTGCAGAGCAGGTCACGGATTTTGCACGGCAGATTGAGGAAACGGCAGCGAAAAGAAGGAAGTGTGGGTAACAATTTGCAAGAGCATGGGATGGCAAACCAAGGGGAAACCACATGGGCGTCTTCGGCTAGGCATCTTGGGGTGATAGATGCAATTTTGCCTGACGGACATGTGCACTTTGGCTCAGACCAACCGGGGCAGACACAGGTGCAGATCACCTGTGGTTTTGGGGCGTCAGCGGATGAAGAGCTGCTGATCTTGCAGGAGCGGCCTCCAGCTGTTCCTAGTTTTTGTGGGGGTGCAGGCAACATGGCAGAACATGAGCCTGCAGCTGATGATGAAACCATGATCCTGGTGGAGGACCCTCCTTCATCAGGCCAATCGACCTTGGATTACGTCCTTCAAAATCTCCAATGCCGCACAGGCAACTACCGGAATAGGTGCTTTGCCAACGCCCCTTTTCGGCTATGGTCCTGGGCGGGCAGCTTCCTCGGAGGCCCTCAGCTATGGAACCGGACGGGAGCGGCGGTCATTGCGGCTCTCAAAGATGATGGTGGTGTAAACATCACCAGACTGCCGACTTTGCAACAGCTCTGGCAGACCTTCGATGACCAGGTCCAAGATGATGCATCACATTTCCTCATGGACTTGGCGAGGATTGCCAATTCTGACAAGGTGATCAAAGGCTACTACCATGTTGACTATAGGCAACAGGTGCATCGAAGAGAATCCTTTCCGATCCACCTCATCTCTCCGTGGACGGAGCATGAACAGGAACTTGAGCAGCTCATTGCAGAATGGGCAAACACGGCAGAAGGGCAAGTGGCTGATGGCAGAGGCCTTTGGGTAGGCCAAATTGGTCGCTATGAGTTGCGCGATGGAGAGTGGACCAAGCACCATCAGATCCTGAACGTGCCAACGATCTTCAACCTTCCCTTCACCGAGGACGGCAATATGACAAAAACAGAGCAGTACTCCCTGATTGGCCTCCTGTGTCACTCTGGGGAACAACACAAACAAGGGCACTACTATGCGATCTTTGTCTACCGAGGAGTCTACTGGTTTGTCGACGATGTGTCCTACCCTAGGCCTATTCCTGAGCTCACAGACAGCATCAAGCGGCAGATAGTGCAGGTATGGGCCATCCCTTCAGTTCAACTCCTTCCAGCTGACCTCCAGAGTGAATTTCCCAGTGGAAGCATTGAACCTCATGATGACAAGCCGACAAACAAGAAGAGAAAATTGGTGGGTGTCACACAGCATGGCCAACCACTCCGACAGTGGTTGCTCACGAGGCCCAGAACACCAATTATGCTGGTTGAGACACACCTCAATCAGGAGGACTTTGCCAAAACCAGTCAATGGTTTGCTGCAAGAGGATTCGGAGTGTTGGGGTGGCCAGCGGCAGAAAGCATCAAAGGGGGCACCCACGGTGGACACATGCTCCTATATCCGGCCAACATGCATTTCCACTTCATTCACAAGCAGGTGATAGACGGATGTGGGTGGTATGCTTCTCAATGGTCATTTGCAAACATGGAAGTCATTCTGGTCATGGCCTATTTTCGGACAGGGGAAGGAATTCAAGGCCACACGAACTCGCAGCTGTGGGCTGGCCTCATCTCCTTTGTCACTAGCATGACCAAACAGGTTATCATAGCTGGTGATTTCAACATCTCCCCAGAGGAATTCATGACGACAACCATGAGCACCATCATGCAGGTCCAAGTGTTGGCATCAGGAGAGGCAACCTGTCACAGTGGAAATGAACTGGACTGGTCTTTGGTATCCACGAGCCTGGTTGCTGACCTATCCATCAAAGCATGCTGGGAGGTACCCTTCAAACCTCATGCGCAGCTGGTTTTCCACTGGACACAGGATTTGGCACCTGTGGCTGTTCAGCAGATTCAAAAATTCAGCCCGGCACCCAAGCTGCCCAAACCATCCAGAGAATGGTATCAAATCGAATATGCTGACGTGCCAGTGCAGTGGCTGAACAAACCCACTACTCCAGCAACACAACAAGTTGGGGCGCTTTGTCACAAAATTGAACGATATGTGCTACAAGGTCTTGACAAGCCCACTTTTGGCAGGGGTACACAGCTGCAGCTTCAGCACAAGCCTCTTCAGGACCCTAGCAAACCCCTGGATTTGGAAACGCGGCAGTCTGGCTTTCTGGGGACAAATTGAAGTCCGTTTGCAGCAGAGGTTACAGCATCCATGGGCAGAACCTTCTCTACAGCACTTACAGAGGCTGTCATGGCACTTGCCACATTACCTCGGACAGCTACCGCCTGCTGTTACAGATGCTGTGGGGGCAACATGATGAAGAACATCTACATGTCTTGTTGAAGCACACCGAACAACAGAGATCACTACACCAGCAACAGGCCATTGATGAGGAGACTCAAACCTACAGAGAGTGGCTCACCAAAGCAACACAGAAAGGATGCAGAGGCCTCTATCGCACTTTGAAGAAAGACGAACTTGCATATTTGAGGCCTTTCCAAGATCAACCACGACAAGAGCGGATGGAAAGCAGAAAGCAGCAGTGGGGACAAATCTGGGGAATACGTGACCAACCTCTTCATCTTCCTCAACTACAAGAACTCATCCGGCAAGGTGCGGAATTCGGGCAAAACATGCCTCCGCTCCACCCCAAGCAGATATGGCACACGATCAAACATCTCAGTTTGAAAGCACCGGGACTGGATGGCATTGGCTTTGACTTTTTGAAGGCATTACCATTTCAAGCCATGCAAGATCTAGCACAAGTGTTTGATCAGCTGGAGGCACATGCAGTGATACCACAGCAGTGGACTACATCCTTGATTGCTTTGTTGCCCAAATCAGCTGACATTGAAAGACCAATTGCACTGGTCGCCACTCTATACAGGCTATGGTGCCGCCTCCGTAGCTCTTTCACCAAACAGTGGCAGACCACACTGGCTGATGACTACCCCTGGGAGAGAGCAACCCCAGGAACTGAGTGTTTGCAAGTGGCTCTGCGAAGAGCTTTCCTCACCGAACACCACAACTCGATGAAGCGCACGGTTGTCTCGGTGCTCTTAGACATGTCCAATTTCTATGACCGCATCAAGCTGGAAGCCCTCTGCAACAGGTGGTTGGACTCAAACTACCCACCAACGCATGCAGCTTTTGCCATGCAGCTGTATCTTGGAGGCAGGATCTTGGAGGCGGAAGGAGAGGCATCGCACCAACTTTGGACGGAGAATGGCATCCTGGCGGGAGACCCTCAAGCTCCCTTGGCAGCCAAGATCTACTTGTACAATGCCCTCAAGGCCTTCCACAAAAAGTATCCACAACTCCACACAGACCTGTGGATCGATGATCTGTCCTTCGATGTTGTTGACCGGGATCCGGCAAATGCAGTTAGGATCGCAATACAGGCCTATGAGCATATCAAGAAGCTCCTCGAAGAAGACAATCTCAAAATTTCTGAGAGAAAGACGGGCTTCATTGCCTCTAACAGCACGGCCAAGCGGCTACTACAACAACAGCTGCCGGAGAATGGACCGCGGGTACATGATGTGATGAGAGATTTGGGAGTGGACTGCACGGCGGGCCGACTCCGGAGGATCCAAACCATGAGAAACCGCCGAAACAAAGCATCCAGGAAGACCAAGAAGTTGACAACACTCAAGATCCCGCAGCAAAGCATCCGTCTCAAGCTCTACAAGGGCAGCATAGTCGCTGGCATCTCCTGGGGGCATGAAGCTATGGGCCTGGCTCCGCAAGTCCGGAGGAAAGTCCGAAATACAATGGGCAGGCAGCTTGGCCTCCAAAGAACAGGCAACATCGACATCCTGTACGACATGCATGGAAGACACCAAGATCCGGATTATGGCTCATTCATGGCCCAGGTCCGCACCTACCGCCGCTTCTATGGCAACTGGCCTGAAGCCACACACAAGTGCCTGGAAAGAGCATGGCAAGCCATCAAGGAGAAGCTCAGTCAAGCCCAATATCCATGGCAAGTAGCCAAGGGCCCTGTTGCTGCACTACAATGCTACCTCATGGAAAGGAAATGGGAGTGCACTCACTATGGAGTTTGGACCAAACCTGGCCACAATGGACAGCGAGAGTTTCGGCTGGACATGACAGATGACTGGTACACACTCCGTGAAGAGCTCAAACGAGCAGAACGATGGGAGCGAATTGAGAAGATCAACAAGAGACAGAACTTGGAGGACATCCAGAACACCATTGATTGGAGGCCATGGAGACTCATGACCAAGATCCTCAATGCTCGGAACAGCACTTCTCTGGCCACCTGGCATAAGGAGCTCTGTTCACCAAGGTAGCTGACACTGAAGGTGATCGACACCTGATCTGTCCACACTGTGGACAAAAGGCAACTGCGCTCCACCTGCTGTGGCTTTGCAAGGAGACGACAAAGGCATTCCGCCATTGAGTGCACCTCGAGTTCTGGACGCAAGGGCTTCTCACTTTGCCGAAGTATGAGCTGGCCACAGGAGGAGCGGCTGTCCAGGCATGGGGCAGCTGGACTTTGCAGGATGAAATGAAGGTGAGCAACACCTCGGTCTTCACCATAGGGATAGCCGCCACGAGCAAGGACCCACGATTGAGGCACTATGTGGTGGCTTTGGTGCAACATGCTGGCTTGGGTCAAGAGCTCTACCGCCTTGGCGTGGTAGCAACCGTGCTGCCGGGACACCAATCCTTGGAGCGCGCTTGGTACTATGGTTTGAGGATGGCCGCCCACTACATCAATCTGAGCACTCAGGTGAAGTTTCATGTGCTCTCTGCCAAGGCCTGGGAAGCATGGGTGCAAGGGAAGCATGATCACATTTTCCACGACCTGGGTAGTTTGGTCACACCAGAGCAAAAGAAGCAGGTCAAGGCCCTCAGCATCACTATGCAGCAGATCCGGCAGATGCCCACCGGTCACATGACCTTGAAGAACAGGTTTCATGATGCCACGAAGGCAGCCACTGAGGTTGCTTTGTCCCTGAGACCGCTTGAGGAGGAGACCTTTCTTCAACAGCAAGATGAGAAGTACAAGCGAATTGCACCGCTTGCCATCAAGAGAGTGCAACACATCTTGGACAACAAGGACCACTTCATGCACCAGGCCAGAGAAAACGGGAAAACCCTCCGACTGCAGAAGCAAGAGAGCAAGAAGCAAGCATTTGCTGACCTGGCCGAGATCTCCAGTGAAGGTGCTCATGCATGGCTCCTCAAAGGACGCGCCAAACAATGTCTTCATTGCCTCAAGCGGCTGACCCTCCATGCCAAGCTAGAGGACCTTCAAGCAGCGGCACAAGAGAGATGCCCAGGCAACCCAGGCAGCACCAAAGGGGGGCAGAACACCGGTCCTGACGAGGAGACAAAGAGCCAGTTCATCAAGAAGCTCCTTGATGACAGCACAGGTGAGCATGGAGAGCACAATTTCCAGCAGCAAGGCAGTTACCTGGTTTGTCAACAGTGTGGCACCCGGGCTTTACGGAATGCGGCCAAGCAAAAACTCCAGGACCTGAGCAAAACTCCTTGCATCAATCAGGCCTGGGAACCAACGCACAGTTGGAAGGGACACAGCTCTCACAGCATGTGGCGGCGAGCCAACACGCTGAAGTGCTTACGCTGCAAGGCGCAGGCAATGAAGAAAGGCCCTGAGTGGCAAGCCAGCAAGGCCTTGAGTGGCCGCTGTGGAGGACTTGGAGATGGACATCAACTTCCACTCGTGTTCAAGGCCAAGACGGCCATTGACGAAGGAGCATAACCAGAAAAAAGGAGCGAGAAAAAACATATATATATATATAGTGGACAGCTAGCACTCAGAATATGACCAAAAGGATTTTTGATTTGGTCCATATGTCCCAAGGTCACTTGTCCATTTGTCCACGGACGCGCAGATAGAATTTCCACACATCCACATAGCATGTGCGCACCACACTTAGAATATATGCGGCGTGTGCCAATTCAATCACACTTGCCTCAAGGGAGATGTGCAACAGTAAAGAATTAGAGCAACCAGTAAATATGCATGAGCCTTCATCTCCGGCGTCTTTGGGTGGGAAAAGAGGCTGAGGTATGTGTGGTCGGCTATTGCACTTAGAATGTATATTCTAACTGTGCTGTCGTTCATGAAAATGCCATATTCTAACTGCAACCAAATGCTCCGGCCATATGCTAAGTGCCGGCAGATATATAATATATAGTAATTACCGTATATATCCGTATATAGTATATGCCAGACCTGATCATCATCGATCAGGTGCTTTTTGATTGGATATGGTCCTCGACAGGGTGTGTTATCAGATGTCGGCCTGCAAGTTAACCATCGTCATCCACTGAAACCTGGTAATGGGATATACCGTACCCAATTGTTCGAAGGAACCTTCGATATGTTTGTTTGCATGCGCCAGGAAACAGAGTCTCAGGAAACAGAGTCTACCATCCCAGGTCCTAAAAAGAATCGTGGCGAAAGCGACCACGTCATGTTCAGACGACCGGTCCTTCCATCGACGAACAGTCCTCCGTGGCGAACGGAGAGTCTTTCCGGAAAACAGTCCATCAGGATGGCAGCTTTGATGACCCGCATGGTAGAACAAGATGGAATGGACCAGACTAGATGGAACAATTTGGACTGGACCTTACTATGGAACGTATTTGCACGACCACACCCAGAAAACTGATGAACATGTAGATGACTACTGAAGCACAGTCTGAAGCACTTTGGAAACACGGTTGAACATTTTTGACTCATCAACTGTTTTTGTTGCAAACTCCACCCAGAAATGGAATTGTCCTGCTTTCATTGCAGCAGGCCAAAAACACATGGCGTGCAAATTTATGTCAAATGTGACGTGTTCGAATCAAGTAGACGACCGGAAGAACATGGACTGAAGTTGCATGTCAAGTAGCGTGCACTTTCGTTCCGAACATGAGAATGCTAGGTCAGTAGCAAGCGGTTGCTGTTTCTCCTATATTAATATATAATCTGTTTACAAATTAGACATTGTTTTTGTTTTTTTGCAATTCCTGCTGTCCTTCTTATCTCTTTTGGGCTTGGGTTGGCTGTGCCCTTACACGATGACTCGTTGGCATCAGTGCCAGTTTCATCATGTTGTTTCTTCATCCAACACTTCGTGCTGCCTTTGCATGTGTTTGCTGGTTTTGCTTTGGGCTGGGCGGCTTGCAAGCACTGCGCCACAGACCTGTCGTGGCCGTTGTTTGAGCAACCCTGGACATAAATAAGCTGTTTCTGTTGTTGTATGCAAGCAGGTTGCTTGGAAAAAGCCGTTCATTTGTATACGATAGGCAGGCAATCTGCCAGTCAGGCTGGCTTGAATTCTCCACCTTCACCAAACAAAACCCGTGTTCAAATTCGGCAGAAACGGCACTGCCATATGACATTCGTGCCAGTGTTGGGACGCTGCGCCGGCGTGGAGTTTTGGGGCACAGGTTTCATGGCAAAGATATCCTGCCAACCTCTTGGCAATCACGAAAGGTAGCTTGAGCTACCTGAGTTCTCCTTGCTTTAGCAAAAATGTATTACAATCAGGAGTTGGGATTGTGCATTGAGTTTGGTCCTGTAAGAGTTGATTCTGTTCGTCGGGGGGGCCCACCCCCCCCGGATCAAATCCCCCCTGCGCCGGATTGCCTGCTACCTTTCGTTCACCCCCTCCTCTCTCAAGTATGTTCAACATTGTTCAACTCCAACCGTGTGCCTTACAAGGACCAAAGGTTGCTTCAGATCTTCCAAGTGCAGACTTGGTCGGCAGCCAGGACATGTATTAATGATTATTAATGTCTATACAGTATGAATCAGTTCTATCAAACACACACACACACACAACATTATCATAATTTCTGATTTATTATGTGTGGTCACTTTCTCCACTTTTAAAGTCCAGTACTGCAAGTGTGTGGCTTCTTGATGTTGTTTTCGGCTACAAGTTCCCATGTTCAGTTCAAGCAGTTCCATGTCATAAAAGTGGATTGATACATAGTGGAAGGAATGCTCGTTAGAAGCATCTGGAAACAACCAGCAGGCTTCGGTTTTTGACAGTGACTTAAACTAGTCTGAGAGATTAAAGGCCTTGAACGACAATCAATTAAATTCAGCAGGAGGCCAATGACAGCAACACTTCAAAGTTGTCTAGAATTTAATAGAAACTCCAAAAAACATATCATTAATGGGACATGTTGGGAAAAAAACATTTAAAAAAACATATAAACACTGAATAACTATTATATATATATATATATTTTGTTTTTATTGTACAATTTGATGTGATGTTTCTCGTCGCTCGCATTCCTCCATGCTGAGAACGGAGATTCACCATCACCGGAGTCACCGTTCGTGCCAAACCAACCAATTGATCGACTGGATGGGTCTGAGAACTTGAGAGACGAATCTCCCAACTTGAGAGGCAAATCCCCGGCCGCGCCGCTCCTGCGTCGAAAGGTGGATGAATTGAAGGCGAAGGGTGACACTGACGGGATCATCGAGTCTTTGGGCAGCAAACATGAGCCATTCTTTTGCGGAGCTCTGGAGAGAGTTGGGACAAAAAAAGGTGAGGCTTGTTGGAGTCGGTTGGAGGGTCCTGGTATGTAGAGTGTTACTATATGCTCTCGGATAGGGCTTTAGTGCGTACTGCAATGGAATTTTGTATACTAATACTACCTGTAAAAGAGGAGACTTGTATGTTTTTATTCTTGGAATGTAGAATGTTGATGAATGTTCATCAATAACCCCACACCATTTGGATTGTAACACCTTTTCATGTGGAGCATCGTCTTATAATCAACATTCTACCATTTCCGATCTTGTAAGGACCTTCCAACAATGCGGCCAAATGACCCTGCGTTTCCCATCATGTGGTCTTCCATGATGGGCGAGAGGAGCCGGAAGCCCCCTCCAGGAAGGCCCTCCCGTGTTCCATCGATAAGTCTTCCAGGTCTTCTGGATTGGAACGCGCCAAATCTGACATCCGTGATGGAGCAACTCCGTAGAAACAGAAATCAGCAGGCGAAGGCTATCTACAGTGGCACCAGCGGTTCCATGTAGGTTGGTGGCTTGAATTCATGAAGCACCATGCTTTCCATTGTTTGCCTTTTTTCCCCGTTAAAGTTCCATTCATCAATCGTTTCGACAGGCGTGTCTTTTCATTCTTTTTTTTTCGCACCCATTTCGACACTGCAGGTGTCGCATCAAACAGCTTAACCTCCAACGCGTCGGGGGGCCCAGCAGTCTCAGTCTCCGTGCCAAACGTTCGCCGGTGTGGTTTGTCAAACGCACCGGTTTGGGTGGTGGACGCGAGGTTTGGATGAACTGTGTCCCGACTCGACCTTTCTGATTCAACCAGTCGCTGTCGTTTTTCCTTGGAAGTGGTCTCAACTCAGACCCATTTGCTGATGGATTACTGATGATGGCGGGTCGCAAAATAGAATTAACAAACTGGTGTCACCCGTTAGTGTCCAGACACATGATTGCGGGTCGTCGGACTGCTTCACTGGGATTGAGTTTATTCAGATTGGTGGTTCCGAAAAATTGGATTCATCAACCAAAAATATAACATATCAGGGCACTCAGCAACATTACAAATATGGGTGAAGTCGTTCAGCAAGCCAAACCTGATGTTGGTATACTTGCGGACATAACCCTTTGGCAGTTTGATAGATCGTGAGTGAAAGCATGTAAACATGAGGTATAGTCATATTTATATATATATATAGAGTCTCTCAAGTCTCAATGTCTCTCATGATTCATGATTTCTATGGAGCGAGACTTGCTCCAAGTGACTGAACACTCCCATGCCAAGGTGGCTCAAACTTCAACCAACACCAAAAACATATCACCCCTTGCGTAGTATTACAAGTCTATGTTGTTTTGTCTCTGAGTCTACTGAGAGGTTCTGCCCTTTGCATAGGAGCTTCAACACCTACCATGACTAACGGACCATCACATGAGTTTTTTGCAAGCCTTTCGGACCCTGACCACGGTAGGACCCCCCAAAAAAAATAAATAAAACATATGTATATTAATATATATGTACATACACATGACCCTGAGCCATAGCTGCCCGAGCTTGGATCCCCAACCCACGTTGCGCACCCACCGGACCCACCCAACCGCGCGGCGGAGGTCTTGTCCTGTTTGCACCAGTTCCCATTGCAGCCGCTGATCCAGGCTCAGGCCGCCTTGGCCGAGGCGCGGTCACGGAGGAGCAGGGCTTGGGGCCACCGGTGGAGATTGGCCAGAAAACAGCGAGGCACCGAGCCACCACGAGTCATTTTTTCAAAGCTGGTTTGACTTATTCGTGTTGTTTTTTGTTCCAGACTTGTCCTCCAGGTGAGCATCAGCGGCAAGAGGGCGAATGTTGGGTTGCATGAAGTATATAGTATACAGTGAATAGATATAGAGAGGCCAGAAGTCTTAAGGAATGCAACGGTTACCACTCTTGAGCCAACTGTTCAGCTTCCCTTGGAAAGCCCTTGGACAACGGTCCAGCACTTCTGGCCTAAGCGCTCCCGGAGGTCCCCAAAGAGGTAGAACGGTGTCCAGGATATATTTCCGGAAGAGTAGGACTCACTCACTCATGCTCACTCACACTCACTCTCACTCTCACACGCACTCTCACTCTCAATCACTCTCTCACTCTCACTCACACTATAGGAGATTTAATTCAGAAGCCCCGGAGATGGGGTCACTGGGTCACTTTGAGGCTTTGCATCTACTTTCCCGTCCACGGTCAGCCAAAGAGGTCGTTGCGCTCGGAGGTATTGGCAGAGTCCCCAATCGTTTGACGAGCTTCGCTTCGATGCCCATGTGCCCGTGAGGCCTATGGGCAAGGGGGCTACTTTGTGCAGGCGTGGCGGCGTCAGACGGTGAGAGCGGCGTTTGGAGACCAACTCCCCGTCGTAGGAAACAAACATGTTCCAGCATGCCATTCATGATGAATTGATAAAGACAACATGTTGATCATGATAGTTTGTTTGCATCGTGCAATTCAGTTTCTTGACAATTCAGTTCGATTGCTTGACAACTTTTTCCCCAACACCCCAGGGGCCCCAGCACTTTTCATCACTTTTCCGTCCAATCGATTTATATTACGTTGTTGTTTGGGGACGCGCACCGCGGATTTTGCGTGAGAAGTTCCAAAACAAATGCACTTCAATCGTTTCGCATCCGAGTTGGCCATATATGGGGGCAGTAAAGTACAATAACCCCACGCTCAGCATTTTAGTATTGGCCTGCACCTTAACATTACTACTGACTAATGCATGATAGGCCCAGAAAACGATAAGAGTAAAAGAAGATAACCAGGATATACCATGATGAGATTGAGATGATATAACATGTACATCTCATCATCTCATAGAAATTTGAGTGGTGCCCCCTTTTGGAGTGGTCCTCCCAGTCCTCCCCTGGCCAACCATCCTTTGAGAGCAGCTCGAGTTTGTCGAGCGTTGTTTATTCGGGCGCCCAGTTTCTAGCGAAGAGGGGTCGATCACTCTCCCCACCCATTTCAGGAACTGCCAAAAATAAACTCAACTGCACCCACTTTTCTAATGTTCCTAGATTCTTGTTCGGAGGATTGTAGCTCGGGCAAACGTCATGAACAACCCCCTCGTGATCAACCAACCAGAATCTTAGCAAGTATTGCAACCTTCATCGGTACTGGCTCCTTTTATATACATATCTCGGTTCAGCTACTGTACTACTGCAGCAGGTTCAGCACCTCACCAATTACTTGTAAACTTCGCCGGAAAAATCACCCCAGAAAAGCGGCTTGCCGCAAAGAGGAATACACTGAACATTTGAAGCCACGGGTGTTGCAGTGTGGACGTCCTGGTAGCAGCTTTGGTTTGTTCTGGGGATGTCGCTGCTTGTTTCCAAACAGGTGGGACTCGGCATGTTTCCGTTGGACTGGGTCCGACTATATATACCTTCATGGCATCTCGATGTATTCTTTGTTGTGTTTATTATACTGTTTCACTGAACCGAACGCCACGGGAGTTTCGCTTCACAATGAGATTCACCTTCTCGTTGTCCACCGACACACCAAGGGCTTCCGGGCGTTCGTCAGGCCAAAGAGCACTTGGCACAGGCCCGCGATGCCCGGCTCCCCATCGGAGCATGGGGTGACAGTCCGAGTGACCCAAAAGAACTCGGCTTGCATCAGGTACCAACAGAACTTGCTGTGAACATCGGTGAAACACAAATTTCCAAACAACTCCGACATACCGTTTGACAGAAGCAATGTCTCGAGTCTGGACTGTGTTCTGGTAAGCCGGTGAGCCCATGATCACGCACTGCATGGTCGACCCACGCTGCAGCCCAAAACAAAAGAGGGAGACTCTTGACTCTTGTCGTCAATTTCTTGGTGCTTTGTGTTGTTCATCGTTCCTGGTACTGTGACTTCATCCGCGGTGTTCCACCAGCACCAGCACCGATGGGATCGAAACACAGCCGTTCAGACCAAGGGATCAATGGACGCGCGCCTCGGACGAACCAATCAGAGGCGGCTCCGATGCATTCAACGGGTCCCACGTTCGGCTCATGTCGCTTGAACCTTTGCTCTACCAAGAAGGGGATCCTCCTTGGTAACCTTCACCATCCAACCCCATGACCCCCTCATGCTACTGGTAGGTGTGAACATCGGATGAGCCTGGCACCGAAGGTGTCCCTCCGATGGACTGGAGTCCAGGTAAGGCCGGGCTTTTCACCATCTAAAGGACCATTAGTTTTGCGACAGGACCTTATCAAATCTATCTTCAATGGCGTTTTCCTCCCCTGGCAGCGGTGTCTTTGTTGATTACCCCCAAGAAGCTCAAAACATCCCAAAGCCCCTCGTTTCGACGACCACTGGGTCCAATTCCGCAGACCGCAGACCGCCGAGGTCTGTAGCGGCGGGGTCTACGACGAGTTGCAATGTCGCCGTCTTCAAGTTCCTCGCCGACGGGATGACGGGGCGATGGAGACGCAGACGACGGGACGCATTTGGAAGTTCCCCTGAGACCTGGGGGAAACACACTGCCGAAAACAGGAGTGGCAGTGCACAGTCTTTTTCGTTCAAAAGAGTCCAGAAAGGCTAGAAGGATTTCCTGAAATGCATGACTGAAGTAAGTTAAGTCTTGATTGAACAAGTCCAGCATCTCAGAAATTGATGTATGCTTCGGCAGCGGAAATTGGTGTTTTGCTTTCGCCTGAGAACGTCACTCAGAAGAGGTCAGCTGTTCATATGACCGATTTCAACAAAACAATTGCCATTGAAGATTGAAGCGAGACACCCACAAGTCCTGGCTCCGAGGTTTGCTGTAGATTTGGTTGAGAGCGAGAAACGAGTACAGTACGACATAGTATAAGACAACACTTAGTCGACAGTATATTACACACTTCCCTGTCGACTATAACATTACACAGGACACTGCGACTGTGTATATATAAGCATATATTACATTATAACATTAATACTATATTTACTGTATTACAGTACACAGTTTCCTTTGCACTGTCATCACCGACTCAACTGTAGCTGATCACGACTCACTCAGCCTGGACCGTTTGTGATGCGATGCGAAGCGAAACGTCCGAGGCGGATTTGTTGGCCTCTGAGGGTGCAGTGGCCTTTGCGGAAGGGCAGCTGGAGGCGAGCGGGGGCGACTGGAACATCAACGGGAGAGTTTGATTGCTTCGAGTGCCAAATGGAATCGGACTTTGTTGCAGGTTGACCTTTCAAAGTCCGAAAAACCTTAAACAACAACATAACTATTAATATATACAAAGAATATGATGTTGTGTGTTGATATGATGTTTGGTACTGGCGTGCACCAAACACGGTGAGCCCACAATAAGCATGCTCTAAACGAGCCAACACAGTCCAATTCCCGTGACCTCACCAGTGGCCTCCCTCATCATTGCTCAGCCTGTCACACCTTCCTTGCTCCAAAAAACAAATCATCCAAAACACACTTCCCTCCCTCCTGCATTCCAAGTCCAACACCTTTCTTCTCCACGTGCCGCTTCACTTGGCCATCCACTGTCATCCATTTTTGGCCACCCATGGCCATCCGCTCCGCTCTGCTGCGCTCACACCGTGCCCGGACGTGCTATTTGGCACCGCCAGCACACCGCTAGCACGCCGTCCAGGTGGCGGAGAAGGTCCTGCTGGATGCAGCGCGCTTGGGCCGTGAAACCCGGGGTGAGTTGGACCGCTTCACCGCGCCCGGAAGCCCAAATTCCGCGCGGGGCGGCCGTGGGAGCAGTGGCAAAGACTTGTGGTGGTGGCACTGCGAGGTCCTTTGGGGTGAAAGCGATAATTACTAATTACTTTGTATATATATATTTTTTTATTATATGGTTAAGTTATATATACATTGTAATATATGATGACTGTATATGCGATGTCCATGCTGCAAGCACAAAACTTGCATTCAAGGGATCAATACATATTCATAGCAGCAGTAAAAAAATTGAACTTGTATGTGGTGTTCTAGTATAGAAGCATCGCTTTCAGCGTTTGGAGCATCCTCATGTCCGCAGGCCCCAGCAACCCAGTGGGCGCGGGTGTGATAGAACTCTGATGACCATCACCTTTATGAGACTCCCTTTTTGCGCTTTTTGGATCAGGCAACGTGGTTCCAGCGTGTGACAGCTCATGTTGTTGATGTTGTTTTTTGCCTGGTCTTTCAATCTTTCCGTGGCTGCTTTTGCAGGGTCCCTTTTCACTTGCCTCAGGCATGTGCACATTCTTTTGGGCCAGGCGCGCTGGGCTCCGGGTTTTGCACCAAGGACACTACTAAAGGAGCAGCACTGTTGTTGATGAAACACCCCAGACCGCTGCCGTAAACGCCTGAAACTAAAGGGTTAGAAGAAACTAAAGGGTTAGAAAAAGATACCTGCATCTTGGGTCCTGGATGTAAACCAGGTTTGACAATGGTCATCGCGTGGGAATGCTCCCAGTGATTTGAGGTGTTTGAGTTTTGACGCAAAGCTGTGCTGTTGTTGCAATCAAGGCACAGGCTGAGCAATGCAGCTACTGATGGTGGACGCAAGCGCTCCTTTAGAGTTTTCTCGAAGTGAGTGCCAGATGAAGGGGACAGGAGTCAATTGGGACTTTAGAAAGGCATGAGCCTTCAGTCACCTTGAGATTCTGTTTTGGAGCCCTTTGGCTGTGGCACTCAGCGTTGGTTCGTTGGTTCCACCACATCGGTTCCGTTGATCCGGTCCTTCGGATCGAGGTCCGGTCCAAACAGGCGGCTCGTCTTACGTCTTCATGTCCCAAACGTTTCACCATCCCAGGACACCTGGGATGGAAGAAAACCCATGGTAGCCGCAGGTAGCCTACTTGTAGCAGCTACAAGTACAGACACCCCTTCGATTTTGCATCGCCCATCGCCCATGGTGTGTGCTCATCCACGCCAGTACCCGCCCCGCCAGGTGGCGACACAACGGGGACATGTCGACAAAGCCATCGACCACTTCTCCGACGCCTGGCAGGCCGAGCGACGTCCGAGGAGATTGGCGTTGGAAGAAGCTTTGATTTTTTTGCCCTTTTGTTTTCACAGGATTCAGAGATGTAAAAAGAAGACGAGAGGAGGAGAAGAAGAAGAAGAAGAAGAGGAAGAAGAAGAAGAAGAAGAGATCATCATTCTCAGGTGGATAGTTTGTTAATTTTTTGTTTGCATCTCTAAAGGATAGTAAACTCTCTGGCTCGGGGTATGCCGTGCTCATGAGGCTCACGAGGACTTGGATGGCCGCACCGGCGAGCCCACACTGCGGGTGAGGCGGGGAACATGGGTCCTCAAGGCCTTTGGCCAGTGTTTAAGAGGGATGATGAGGAATTGAAAGGACATGATTGCGTTACTTGAATTGAAAGGACAATGTATGTGTCCTTGGGCGTTTTTGGGTGGCAGCCTGGGCATTGGGCTTCTGCAGCTTCTGCAGCTTGTGTGTGTGTGTTTGTTTTTGTTTTGTGGCTTTCGTGGGTTTGCTATTTTGGGGTGGAGGTGCAAGGAAAAGAGAGAGAAAGAGGACATGCAACAGGAAGAACTCAATACCAGCACCACCAACGAGTAGCTTATAGACCCCCTCCCCTAACTCTATAATAATTATTGTCCTCCCAATAGCATCTAATAGCCGCTAATAGTGTGTTAATTGGTATATGCTACTTGTTTGTAAATGCTACGGTATACTCTTGGACTGTTGTTCCTGGCTTCTGGTTAAAAAGAAACACTGAAGCGATGCTTTCTTGTGAATCCGGACTTTTCATGGTCTTACCACTGGAATCAAGCCGCTCTCACACTTGTCCATCTCTACCCTAAAGCTGTTCTTGATTCAACACGACATGTAGATCGACAAGCTGAGAGCCACTTCGACGTACTATGCAGGAGTCTTCCTCCATATTTCCAAGTAGATCGAAATGGTTCTCATTCAAGATCCTGATCGACTGATCGAAGCAGATTTTTGGGTGCTCCAGGTGCTTGAAGGGGAATCTTTCGAGGGGCATTGACCTTATTCTATCAAGATGAATCAGGGAGATTTACCAACAACAGGCATGTATTTAATATGGAGATCCCAACCAAGCAATTGAGTCAAACGTGTTTTTCTTCGGTCAAACTGGGAGGTCTCCCTACTTTAATGCAGTCCTTCCATGTTTCGATCCTTGCTTCTCGGGCTTCCGAGGCTCCGCATGGCCGACGCCCAGCGGCGCCTGGCCGCGCGGGCAGAGAAGGCGGTGCAGGAGCTGCAGGTGGGGCAGTGGAGCAGTGCAGATGAATGAAGAAAGAATGAATACCATGGATTGAAGGCAGTGTGTTGTTTTCTTTATGCGTACATGATTCCATGATGTACATGTGTGATCATGTGTGTGCGTTTTGTTTATTGTTCTGTGTTCTTGTGTTTTTGTTGGACGTGTTTGGGTCAGTCATGGTCAGTCTCTCTATATATATATATGCCGAACAAAGCTGCGTGCAGCAGTCTCCACCCTTCATCTTACGATATACTATGGTCGCTTGACGGTCTTCTCATTGCCAAGGCTTCTAAGCCTTGGGATGTTTGGAAAAAAACACCTTGGCCGCGGAGAGCATCACCAGGCCGTTTCACTGTGCTTCACTCTCTCTGCGTCTCCAGGCCGTGGTGGAGATCCTCAAGAGCGAGGACCTGCCGACCGCCGGGCGACCTGGATCGCAGACCCGGGCAACCCGGAGTCGCTGGGAGTCGGCCCGGAGGGTGTCCAGGCCCGGAGCATACTTGGAATAGTTACTTACATTGGGATCATGGGGTACATGTCCCCCCTTGACAGATGGTGCAAAAGCTGGGTCGAATCTCAATCGACATGCAGAATATGATGCAACCACGTGATGCTTGTGCTTTTCCACCGCTCCTGCCGTTGGTGCGTAAGACCTGTCTCCGCCCCTGCCTCGCGGAGACCTGTCTCCTCTGCGAAACTGCCCGTGACGATGGGTGACCCGTCTCCCGGACCGCGCGGTGGACGACCCGCGGGTGACCGCCAGTTGCTGGTGGAGAGCTCTTCGCGCTTATCTCACTGGCCTCTCGGCGTGCAGCGACTCGGGTGCGACACGCGCACCCGGTGATGGGGCGCGGCGCCAGCCAGGGCGCGGGACAGTGCTAGATCGAAAGCTTTCGATCCACGGCAGATCACCCACTACCCACTATGTTGAAACATATCCACACCCAGGGCCCAGGGGGCTTACAACCATGGTACTCTCAGATAGATTAGTCGCATCGGTTTGCACTAAATGTTGCCGTTACTTGCGTCGAAAGGTCTTCGGGAAGTCGCATCGGTTTCATGATTCCATGCTGTTTTGAGAACATGCGACATGCAAATGATCTAGCTAACCTTTCTTTCAATGCTACTGGGGCCTCGCTTTAAGTCGTATCAACTGGAGGAAAGTCGTATCAAAATGGTGTGCCCTTGGGGATTGGCTTTTCTATGGATGTTTGTTGTTGTTCTACTTGTTCTACCAACTGATGTTAATGTGCTGTGCCCATGCTTCGCTTGCTTGTGTGATAAATTCCTTTTTTGCATCATTGCATCGTGTTTTTTCAACAGACAGCGTGAGCTATTAGGGTTCTTACTTCAAGGAGCTGCGTGTGTGCGTTTTCGAGCGTGGGTGCTGGTGCCGCTGAAGGGTGCCGCTGTTGTTCCAGTGTAGGAAGAGCTGCGTGTTTGCGTGCTCGAGCTTGGGCGCTGGTGCCGCCGCAGGGTGTGCTGGGGAGCTTGGGTGCTGGCGCGTTGCAGAGTGCCGCTGCTGTGTGCGCTTGAGAGCTTGGGTGCTGGTGCCGCTGCAGGGTGCTGCTGTGTGCACTTTGGATCTTAGGCATGTGGCCACGTGCACTTTGGAGCTTGGGTGCTTCTGGGCTTGGCATGGTGCTTGGGCTGGGATGTACTGCCTTGGACCTCGCCTGGACCTCGCCCGGGCCTCGCCTAGAACCACCATATCCTCCTGCTGCTTGTATGCTTGTATGCTTGTGCGCTGCTTGCCTTGTGCAGCTTGCATGCTTGTGTGCTTGTGCTGCTGCTGCTTGTTTGCTGCTTGTTTGCTGGTTGTTTGCTGCTGCTGCTGGTTTGCTGCTGGCTTGCTGCTGGTGTGCTGCTTGTTTGCTGCTTGTTTGCTGCTTGCTTGCTGCTGGTTTGCTGCTGGTTTGCTCCTGGTTTGCTCCTGGTTTGCTGCTTGTTTGCTGCTTGTTTGCTGCTTGTTAACTGCTGCTGCTGCTTGTTAACTGCTGCTGCTGCTGCTTGTTTGCTGCTGCTGCTGCTGCTGCTGCTGCTGCTGCTGCTTGTTAGCTGCTGCTGCTGCTTGTTAGCTGCTGCTGCTGCTGCTGCTGCTGCTTGTTAGCTCCTGCTGGTGTGCTGCTGCTATTGCTGTTGCTGTTGCTGTTGTTGTTGTTGGTGGTGGTGGTGGTGGTAGCTGCTGCTGCTGCTGCTGGTGTGCTGCTGGTGTAAATGCCTACTGCTGCTGCTTCCGCAAAGGAAGTGGAATAATTTCGTATAAAACCAAAACATTTTTCAAACACTAAAGCGCCTTGTGAACAGGAACCTGATGTGACCCTGATGTGACCCCGTCGCATCGGGCCCCCCCTTGCAGATTAACAGTTTTCCAGTCACCTGATGTGACTAATATTGTTGACAGTATGATAGAGGGAGTCAGTGCGACAGAGGTTCTAGTTGTCACTTGTGTTCTTGTGCAATACCGGGGAGAACTTTATCATTTCTACACTGGTTCCCAAGCAGATCTATGTAGTTTTGTCCACCGTTTGTTTTAATCAAAGATGCCCGGCAACACATTTGGTTGTGGCTGATTCAAGAACAAGATCTAGAATTCGAATAACATCTACAGACTGTTAGTGATCAGTTCGTGGTTGTCCTGGTACACACAGGTCCACACCATTTTGTTGGGATTACATTACATACATGTTGAAACAATGCTGTTAACTTGGAACATCAAGCCTCAGATGGATGGCTAGTTAAACATGTTAGCGGGTCTCAGACTCGTACGGGGCGGCCCACAGGGTGAACCCCTTTTCCTAAGTATATATTGAACAGTACGTGAACCCAGTTCTTCAACAGGTGTATTATATATAGCTATAGTGTAAGCTAGTGTAAGGGTATGCTGCTTGAACACTTGTATAATATGGTATCTACAGTCTGTATTTGGTTTGTGCCGTAAGTTGCTTCCAATGAGTCTTGTTCGCACAAAAACGCACACTCCTGAGAGTTGTTGTTCGACACGTGCTCGCGTGCAAAAAGGACATCCTGCTCACCGCCTCAACGGCGACCGTTCGGTGCGACCGGTCGGTGCGGTCACCGGTCATGTTCGGTACGAACAACGGGCGAGAACGAGCCCGGGCTCAAGCAAGAGTTCCACCGATCACCTGGTTGGGTAAGAGAATGATCCCCCTGCATCTCATTGGTGCTGACTCGTGGGAATAAGGGAAAGTTTTGCCCCCAATAGAGATACCTTTGGATCCAGCCATCCAGCCACCCTCATTACTTTCGACGCACCAGTCAGCCATGGGAATCCATGTTTCTATGGGAGTTATGAGTCCTTTTGACAACCGAGGCCTTCGGCTCCATTTGGGCTCGTGTTTTTGGCTCGTCCGACACGAGCACGAGGCTTCTTGAAGATGAACGAGACGAAGAAGCCTTTCAGGTGAGCCGAGACACAGAGACTACTGGATGAGCCGAGACGCAGAGAAGCAACAACATCTCGACCTCCCAAAGTGTGTATTTTTGTAGGTCTTTTTGTAGCTGTATAGAGGTCCATTAAGGTGTCCCCCTTGAGTTCATCCAGGGATTCCCTCAAAAGTAGCCTTGAGTAGCCTGAAGGCCGAACTCACGTGAGTTCGGGAGATTGTTCATCAACAGCAGCTTTAAATCAGAACGACACTTGGCTTAGTGATGCTTTGGGGGTCCAAGGCAGCCTTAGTTCTGTTGTCCACCCTGTTGTTAGCACAGGAGGCATGGCGAGGTGTACCCACATGTTAATGAGATTGTGCAGACTCTTCCTGGGTCTCGCGTGCCGATCTTATCTTGCATATACTATACTAGTGTTCGAGAAGATACGATGGTTAATGATGGTTATAGTTATAAGGTCTTATTATTTGTGCTACCTCCCAACGTTCTACTGCATGGGATATAGTTGTGTATTGATACACAATATATACATCATAGATGGAGAGTAAATGTTGGATGTCTATCCGCTTCAGGATCTATAATGCTATAATGTGACACCACCGGCAGAGCGGCAACGATATCCAAATACCATCGACCGTTCCGACTGAGAGATCACTCAGTCATGCATACTCCGAAGGAAACCTGTTCTGCAGGCCCTCCAGACCGCGGAAGCTGCGTGCCAGAAGCATTTCGGTGCCTCAGCTGTCCTTCCCTGGCTGCGAACAGATGCGCATGACGGGTTCAGAAGCAGGGTGTTTCGCCCTGCAGACTGTCCTGAACCCTCACAAAAACACGACTGAATGGTCAAACTGGATCCAAATTTGCGGATGCAGTTGAACACGTAAGACCCACAAACATGCAGATTTTAGTACTGCAGTTTTATGTGTTCCACTGATCAGGGGGGCAATGGGGGTCATGTTGGGCACCTTAGTTTTAGAGCTGTATTGCCGTATGTTGTTTTTGTCACTTCAAGACTGCTGGTGTTTCAACATGTTTCAACTCCTCACCCTGAACCACTGCGCCCCTCACACCAAATACCATTAATTTAGCAATCGATTGGACCAATTCTCCATGGTTTGACCATGGTTTTCGCAGACGAAATCGACGGAATGCTCGCAGCACCGAACGCTCGCTCCCGACGGGGTGCTCCCGAAGCGGCCAAGGTGAGGAGGATCCAAAGGCCATCGATGTGAAGCGCCACGCTCGAGAGCCCAGACTGCCAGGGGTGATGTCCAGGGCACCAGGGCGGTAGCGATTTGGGGGTCGATGTCCTGGTTGGTCTTCTTTTCTCTCAGGTTTTGGATGGTTTTGTTCTTCTGTCTTTCAGTTTTTTTTTGTTTAATTGGTATTGGTCTTCTTTCTCTCAGGTAGGTCTGGTCCGGTACTGGAAGACCACACACCGTGGTTTGCACCGCCCATTGTTACAGGTTGAGGTTCTCTGCGTGAAGAGATGGGTGAAACAGAGCCCCCCAAAAAAAATGTTCCCCGGAAAACACGGGGGAGGAGTCGGACGAACCGGTGTTCCGTTGGAAATCCCAGGAAATCCCTGTGGAGCTTGGGAGAGTTGGAGGGATCGATGTGCTTTTTCCTAGGCAAATGGGTACCCGGGTTAAGGTGACCATGGTGACTAAACCTCAGCACTTGCATGGTCTTTGAGACGGGACCTCCAAAAATTTCGCAAACGGTGAACAGGTTGGCTCAGACTCAGACCCAGGTTGGGTGGGATGGCATTCGAGAGCAACATTTGATGCTTCCTCCTACAGGTGTCGTTGGTTGCATACCCCACCCAAGCCACAGTGTAGACTTTTGATGCATAAATAATCTTCAATTTTGATCGTAAAACATCTCATTACAGTAGTCTTCTACTGTTCTACTGAGTCTACAGTTTGCATTAGTGAATGGCAAGCCGGATGAATTGTGTGAACTGCAAGTGAGGAACTCCAATATCATGGTTTGGACTGGTATCCTTGGCGGCGGCGAGGTTCTTAGGTGGAAAAACAGTTTTTAAGGGGACCATGACCCAAAGCCAAACATCCCGGAGCTTTGGTCTAAAGTCGGTCTTCGCTTCAGATGGCATCGCTCCACATCAAGTTGGGCCGCAAGAAAGAGGCCCTGAAGCCGTGAGTGTTCCGTCAACCGCTCGGTGTTCCTGATGCTGTCGGACGTAAGGATATACATGCTTCATGATGTGGTCCGCTGGATCAACTCAATCAAACTCCACATAGTTGACAACCCCTCTCCATTGAAGGGCCAACGACGTCCTTCGCTCCCAAAGAGCTTTAGAGACTGTCTCACCGGCCAGCACTTGAAGGTCTTTGGACGAACCGCCGTACCAAAGCAGACTGTTACGGATCAAGTTTGCTGGCAGGCGGTCTTTGGTTTTTTCTAGTCAGAAAAAGAAGCTGAAAATGCGGAATGGATTCTGGATATGGATATCAATGTTCGGCAGAATGCAAAGGATCCATCAAACCACCAACGAACGCTCGACATCATCGATCCGATGCGACCGCCCGGGCGGCTTGAAAGGCCTTGGAGTATTTGAAAGACGTGCACTATTTCGAGCGACGGCCCGGACGGAGAGAAGTCGTGGGTCAGATCGCGTAACATATTACAGTACTCAGTGTTCAATATGTATGTGACATGTATGAATGTAATAGAATGTAATATAATGTAATGTGATGAACTGCAATGTAAGTATAGGAATGTAATGTATTTGGTAATGTAATGTAGTGTAGTGTAGTGTAATGTAATGCAATGGTATGTATGTGATGTGATGTAATGTAGCTTATGTATGTGGAGTCCGGCCAACAGATGCCAAAAGTCTATAATCGACAAAATTAGATAAAGGGGTCGAAAGTAGCTCATGATGTTGTGTTTTCACTTAGATTATGTAGCGGGCTCACTCTGCAGCTGGGCGCTAGGTTTGCGGTAGACCCGGTAGACTTGCTGTAGACCGCGCGGTAGACTTGCTGTAGACCGCGCGCTGGCACTGCGCTAGATCCGCGCTAGCAAACATTGCGAGATTCGAGCATGGACCCTTCCAAGGCTGACTTGCAACATGTTTTTTGTTTCAAGCATTGCTTGCAAAGGCGCAGAGTTCAGACAGCAACGGTTCAACTTCCTCGGAGAGATGAATGTAATGTAGTGTAATGACAGTTTAATGTAATGTAATGTTGTGTTATGGTTTGCATGTGTGTGTGTATGTACGTAGGTGCGTAGGTACGTACAGTATGTACTTATGTACGTATGTCTATGTATGTATGTTTGTATGTATGTATGTTTGTTTGTATGTATCAATGTAATGTGATGTAATGTAATGTAATGTATGATTGAATGCTTGTATGTATGAGTTGTATGTATGTATGTAGGTAGGTAGGTATGTAATGTAATGTAATGTAATGTAATGTAATGTAATGATGTATGTATGTATTTTTTTTCCTCAAGGGTGCTGCTCCTGCTCTTGTGGCCTGTCAACTAGCCTCAGACGGTTCAGAAGTAGTCCACAGTGAAGGAGGTGTCTTCTCCGTCATGGCTGGGCTGTCCAGGGCTAGTTGCCTCTGGTGTGTCTTCGCTGGTCAGAGCGCTCAGTGGATCAGGTTGGCTGGGTGTCAGGGCCCGTTCTGGCTGGAGTGCCAGAGATCCGTGAGCTTGCTGATCGAGCTTGGTGGGAAAGTGAAGCCTCCTGGGTGTTGGCCCATCACCCTTGGGGTGGGGTTCCGGTGGCTGCGGAAGCTGCTGAAACTGAAGCCTGGGCTTCTTGGAGCTGATGGGCACTGCCTGTGGTGCCTGTGGACTTGTTTGGCTACTGCCGCTGGCGGAGTCATCTGGACTCTGTGGTGAAGCCTGAGTTGCTTGCCTGCGGAAGATCTCCTCAAGAGGTGGAGATCCACTGAGTCCAGCCCCCTTGCAGGGCTTCTTGATGGCAGTGGTCAGGATGATCCTTTGCTGGGCATCAAGATGCAGACTCAGGCCACATTGTGTGCAATTTACTTTGTTTCCTTTTTGCCAAAGGACGTGACTTCGATGTCCTTCATGGGTAGCCGTGTAGGCCTGGTCATAGCATTGTCCTTGGACAAAAGCCTGGAAAAGCTGCTTCGCTTGTGGACGTTTGCTCCACACTTGACACATGTATGTATGTATGTATGTATGTATGTATGTATGTATGTATGTATG